TACTTTCAGGGAAAGCCTCTTTTAATGAAGTCTGAGAACTGACTTTCGCAGCTCCAAATAGCCTGCAGCATTTTCAGAAACAAACTCACATACTAAGCAACCATCAACCAGACTAGCAGTTCATCTCATTTTGCAAATCCCCAGCAAAGTCTGCTTTGGTGCCCTTTACAATCAGCAGGAAATTTTTGCTAAGAAATCACACTGAATATCAGGGTATCAGCCCCTTTCTCTCCTTCTGATGTACTCTTTCCAGCTGATTAAGATTGATGCTTCTTTTTTGCCATTTTAACATGCAGATTTATTTCAGATAAGTGATAGCAAGGTTCTCCTGTAGTTTGCTTTCCTTTTAGGCTGTGTAGTTATCTATATGCCCTAGTTTCTCCTCCTCGATGCTTCATTTCTGTATTCATACGTATATACATGCATGCATGCATGCATGTCTTTGCCTTTTTTCCCATGACATTGCAGCATCTTCTTCCACTGGGAACCATCTGACCTACATTCAGATCCCACCCAATGAATAGCTTTGACCCTTGCTGTGCTCTTCATCTTTAGAGACTTTTCTCTCAGAGGGGTTTGTTGAATTTTGCCAGCCACCTCGTAAGAGATGGAAATGAAAACCTGGGACTAAGCAGATAAATAACTGCACATCAATTAACACACAAGTGACCCTGCAGCTCCCACAGGGCTGGATGCTCAAAACGCCACTGGTACCATGACTCAACAGCACCCTTCCCCCGAGGATTTCTGTGCTTCGGTGTAGACACATAGCTCCCCGGCCAGCGCACGCTCTTATTATGGGCCCCAGATGACTCAGACCTTGAGATAGACTCCAGTGGGCAATTTTCTCTGCTGTTAATGAGGCTTCTTAGATACTGCATTTAGGATCTCGTCTTCACAAAAAGTAAAAGAAATGGTCTCCAGAGATTTCAATGGCTCCATGAGTATCAAAACAAACCCTAGCTTCTTTGATAGCTAATCTCAGAAACTAGGAAACCTAAAAATGATTGGCATACTCATTCTGAAATGCTGTGATGTCTGCTCCCCTCACACAAATGAGATTCCATTCCAGTCAGCTACTGCATATTTATGCTCAGCCTTTCATTAACTTATTGATCATGTGATGATACGCTATCCTTTGCTACCTTTGGGGAAATAAAAGGGGAAAAAATGTGCTCTAATGGTGGGGCTATTTCATGCTTCCTGAAAATTCAGTCCAATCCTCCTGGTCTCTTTCTGTCCTCTTTTCTCCCCAAAAGCGTCATGGATCTCCAAAGACATCCCACAAGAGAGGGTGACTACCATTCCCCAGTAAGCCCCTGAGGCTGCCATTATGTGGCACGCAATTATACAACTACATCAGGGTCAAGCGTCTCCCTTTAAGGGTAAAATATGGTATTACACTCTAAATTCCTGTACTGCAAAAACAAACAGTGCCATCAATTCATTTCCAGTCAGACCTCCACCCCCTTGGGAAAAGTATACAGAACTTTCTGGTGGGAAAAATAGTTTGGAAATACAACCTTTTTATTAGAGTGAAAGCTCTTCCTTCATTCAGCTTGTCTTTCATTAGCCACCCTGGTACACTCCAGTGAGGAATGTGGCTTGAAGATGCACTTTGAGGTCACAAGAGGCAAGTCCTGAAGGGGTGTACTTCACTCTCAATATGTAGTCATAATTCCTGACAAGATTATGAGGTCTGATCCAAAGCCAAGTAACCACATGGCTGTTTGTAGGTAAATGTCTCTAAGGAGGGTGGCTTTTTAAGGAAGGATTCCATTACCTTGCACACAAATGAAGCATCTATATTCTCTGTTTTCTTTGAGCTCTCTTACTGTGAATAATATCTTCCTATTTTTCACCCTTCTGTTTGAAACACAGAGGGAGCAGATGAGGAGGAAAGGAAGGCTTTGAAATTCACGTGTTTCCTTAAATCAACACTGGCATATTGCATGTGGGGTTGAGTAAAACTGCATTCATATCCACAGCTCCTCTCTATCACTCATCTAAGAGGTACAGGAGGAAGAGAAGAGCTCTCTGAGTCCACCTTACAGCCACACAATAACAGACCATGGTAATGCTCTTTCTGTGATCCCAGAGCAGACCAGCCCATGACTTTCAAGCAAGGAGCTGGCTGATGAGACTCAGTAGAGCATCCCGGGAGAAAGAGCTCACAGTATAAATCTGGAGCAACACCACCAAAGTGAGCAGAGTGACTCCAGATATTCTGTGTGGTCACAAAGGTCCAAAGCAGCTATTTGTGATGGCAATGAAAAAGGGACCTTTTCTTTCCGGGCCTGAATCTCTCCTGAGATGTGCCAACTGTACAGTATCATTGCTTCCAGTGAAGTTGCATTACTGCAACTGGGAGCCAAATTTAGTTCACTGGCTTCAGTGGTCATCTGAGGACAGGATGTGATGCTACTTGTCACCTGGGTTTTGTCCCAACAGCAAATGCTGTTTTACCAGCAGCAATGGCTATTGGGCTCTACGTAAGAAGTTGCTCAGTAAAAAGAAATTGTGAATTTGGTTACACCAAAAACATTCTTTGCAGTATGATGCCAATCATAGTAAAAAATAACCACCTAACCATCACCACGGATTTAAAAATAGTCATCATTTTCATGGGCAAAACCTGAACAACATGTTTTGGATCTTCACCTTTGCAACTGCCCAAAAGCAAATTCTGTTTTTTTGGAGTTCTTTGGGTTCCTGCTGAAATCCTTAATAGTTCCTGAACCATGCAATTTGAGAAGGAAATGGAAGATAGCCATGCTATTGGACGTATGTATTCATTTGGCATGTGAGCAGTGCCATTGCCTACAGCAGGACTGTGCACGTGAACAGGGGCAGGAGGATTGGGTCTGTTGTCTTCTACTCTGTTCTCTTTGATCCTGCAAGTGTACTGTCTGCCAAGGTCGCATCAGGCTGCAAAGGCACTTTTTGCAACTCTGTATGATCTGTGTCTGTCCTTTATTTATTCAAAATGCGTTTGCCTCTACAATTTAATCTGCTGTTCTCTCCCTCCCCTTCCTCTTGGTGAAGTCTAATTACAGTTTTATTCCAGGTCCATCTGGTTGCTATCGATGCTGGACATCACCGCTGAATTCATTCTAATATTTGTTGTGTATTTTCTAGGCTGGACGCTGAATAATAATATTCTCTGAATTTGCTTTTGCTCCTGTTTCCTTCCTCCCTGTTGTAGCTAATTGCGTAGTAATGTGTAGCCATGGGATGATTACTCCTCCCAGTGTAGATCCACTAAGAGTTGCCTATTTCAGGCTGCAGAATAAAGGGGGGGTTGTTGGTTTTGAGGAGAAGATTTCAAAGTTCGCTCTACCAGCTCCCTTCACTGGTGTGGAACGAGCTGGGCAGTAGCTTTCTCTGCTTCCCCCCTTTTTTTTTTTTTTTTTCCCCCTGCCCCAAGCATAATACAGTTTATAACTGTGAGTCTCAAAGCATCCTAGAGGCAGTGTTTCAACATTTAGAAAGACACTTTTTGCCAGTGCCTGCTCCAAGTGATGGTTGAACCCACAGTAATTTCAGGTTCCCAAGCCTCGCTTGTGCCGGGCCAGTGGTGGGATTTTTTTTTTTTTTTTTTTTTTTTCCCCGCTTTCTGCAACACTGCCTGGGAACACAGTCTCACACTTTACCCATGACCTGACTCCCTGGCTAAGAATAGCAGTCACAGTGCAACTTGGGTTCAGTCTCACTGGAGACATGCTGCAGCTGGGAAACAGGGAGGTCAGATTAGCCCATACTCACAAAACCAAACACATAAAAGGAGTACAGAGGATTTTGTATGTTCACCTCCTTTTAAGACTACAGAACAAGGGGAAGAGGTTAGCACAGGTGTTCAGTGAGCCAAGATAAATTTTCTTTGCTCATGACATTGACTTATACAGGAAGTTTACATACAGAAGCCCATCTTCTGGGCTGAACAGAACCTTTTCCAAAAGGGTCCTGTATCCTTATGGCCTGTCCAGCCAAAAATCATGCAGGAAGGGGACAGTAAGCAGTGCTGATTAGCATCTCCTGGGCGCTGCTTAGGACAATGAGGTGTTTGAGCTAGCCCCTGAAGTGATTCTGCCCAGCAAAGTGAAGGTATGAGTTTAGCACATGCTAGCGGATCTGCCATAGCTTGTCCTAGACAGCTAATGTGACAGTGATGCTGTGGCACTACCTGTAGCATGAGTGAGCAATAGGTCGCGTTCTGAGCACATGCTAAAGCCAACTTTGCTCTCATTCTTACCCCGTCCTTGTGGGATGCGCCAGCACGTGCTACATTGACACCTTTGTTTTGTGGTGCTTTCAGAGCAACAGAAATACCAGTCCTGCTCTGTACTTTTAAGACAGGAGCTAAAGCATTAGTAATAGAAACTGTTAGGCTAATGACTGTCATAATACTCATTTTGGCTGGGTAAAGATAAAGGTGACAGCCAGTGAGGTTTAAATAGCACATCCCCAGCTTGACTGTGCCCTCTGCTCCATCATGACGTGGCAGCCAGCCGTTCCCAGCGCCAGCACAGAGCGTTACGTCTGGTACATGGACTGGTGGATTGATATTCACACTGGCAGAAGGGGAGCCGTTTTTTGAGAGAACCGTATGATACCATTCCTGTACTCTTCCCCCAGCCAAATCTAAGCCAAATGGGGAAGGGTGCTGTGTTGCTAGGAATCGGAGATGTCTGGAGGAGCTGGTCCCACAAGCCCTACTCCTGTGAGCAGACATGCTCAAAGCGATCTGTGTTGCTACCTTTCACCCCCGTCCCAGAGTCGGAGGGGAGGGGTGGCTGCACTGGGATCGCATTTGCTGGATAGGGGTTGCTCACACAAGTCAGGAATCCCAGGACTGGGCTACAGCTTGAGGCAAAACAAGTAGCCTAAGAGGAAAACCCCTTGAGGTATCAGGGCAGTAATTCTAATGGTAATTTTGAACTGTTTTTGTCTGTCTAACATTCCTTTTTAATCCCCATCCTGCCTGCCCCTTCCTTATGTAGGGTTACTTTAGTGATCCTTGGAATGTTTTTGACTTCCTCATCGTAATTGGCAGCATTATAGACGTCATTCTCAGTGAAACTAATGTGAGTATTACTCTACCCTCCCCAGGATACCACCACCTCCTCCTCCTCTGCTGTTCCTTCTCTCTTTCTCTCTTTCTTTCTCTCTCTTTTTTTTTTCTGGTTTTTTTCCCTCTAGTCATGCTTTTATTGAACTTGCCGTCGTCCTTCTCCTTCTCCCAGGGAAAAAAAAAGGAGGGGGGGAAATGCCTCCTTCTTTTTCACTTGTCATAGCTCGCCCCAAGGCTGTGACTGGTGAAAGCGCACAGAGTTTGGGGTGTGTGTGCTTTTTTTCCCTCCAAAAGGTAGACATGCTTGAGTGTAACTTTCTGACTAACCAGGCTTTTGTTGATACCCTCCATCATGTGAAACGTTACAGAGGTTTGAGCAACCAATACTGTAGAGTGGTAAGAGACTATTTAATATGCCCACGTAACCTCTTTCTTTTCTTATTTTTTTCCTCTTCTCTCCCTCTTTCATGCCTTTGTTTTGTTTTGTTTTTTATTTTATTTTATTTTACTTTTTACTTTTTTTCCCTCTTTTCTCCCTTTCCCTCTCTCTCTCTCCCTCCTCTCTCTCATATTCTTTCTTTCTCTTCCTTTCTCTCTCTTTCCTTGGCTTCTCTGCCACATGCAGCACTATTTCTGTGATGCATGGAATACATTTGACGCCTTGATTGTTGTGGGTAGCATTGTTGATATAGCAATCACCGAGGTGAACGTAAGTAGCTGGCGTCTGTCCATGATCGTGCCTGCTCTAACATTCATTTGTCTTTCCCGGGTTCTTTTTTTTTTTCCCCTCCCCCTTCCTACTTTCTTTTGAGTTTGTTTTCAGAGCTTTTTGTTTAGTTTTGAAGCTCTCTTTTTTTTGGTTTTGTTTTGTTTTCTTCTGTTTTAATTTTTGGAACGACTTAAAGGACTTTTTGACCCTTGCATCATTTTCTTCCCCTCATAATCCGCCTGGCATGAATTAAACTGTATAGCAGGAAAAGTGATGGGAAACGTGGAGTGTAAGTGAAAAAGCTATTTGTGCCATGGGAAGCTGCTAGAATAGTCCCAGGCCAGCACTTTGGTCTACACACTGTTATGCTTTGCTTCCCATGGCAGTTCAATACTCTCCACCCCACAGAGATCTAAAGGTCAGTTCTTTCGAGGTGGAACTGCGGGAACCAAACCAGGAATCCTCCCTGTGCCTCCTCACGAAGGCTGCCTCCGAAAGAAATAAAGACCAAATCATCTCTATTTAGATGAACGTTCTCCCAATGTTTGGTTTCTAATTTGAAAAAAGGTAGAAAAAATAAAAACAAAACAGAAAGCCCGAAGAAAAACAAAGCGCCAGAGGTTCAACCCAGGGTTTTGGGTTTGCAGCCCGGTTTGCTCCATCTCACAAATTCCACCAGCACAATTGACACTGATTGGCCCCACTGGTGCCCATCTCAGCAGACAGGTGAAGGACTGAATGAGCCATGGAGACTGAAATGAGCAGCTGGTGTTCAAGGAATAAATCACATCAGGCAAACTTTCTCTGTCTTTCTTTGGAGGTGGATGGATATAGAATTACAGGTTAAACAGACAAAGGACAGGCAGGAAACACACAGATTCTCAAAAGAAAGACTACAAAGGACCCACTGGGTTTATGAGCACAGACAGAAATTGCACTGCAGAATCCAGCTTAGCAAGGCCAGGAAAATAGAAAGATTGAAATAAAATTGCTGTAAATATGTTAATGAAGAGCAAATCAATCATGAATTTGCAAAATGATGTGGCTGTTGAATAAACATTCCAGCTTGGAATTGTTGTGTACTGTAGAGGCAATCCATCGCAAGCAGAAAAGTGACAACATAGTTTTCACTCAGTGCTGTGTTTAGGGAAAAATGTAGGTGACATTTTGAAAAAAAATCAAAATGCCGTACTTGAAACTTTCCAAACAAAATGTTTTCATATCTTGGTTCTAGTTTAATTTCTGTTCAACATGATTTTTTTTTTTTTCAATTCTGAAACAGGGACATTTATCCAAGTTGTAATATTTTGATTTTTAATAAATGAAATATTTCATTTGACACTAGTCTATTTTCCCTGCCTTTTGAGAGAATGGAAAATAGTTTCTAACTGGAAATGAACTTTTATTTTACATCTCTTAGATGTCCTACTTTCTGGACACAAAAAATTGTTTACAACATCTCCTCCAGAATGTTGTAAACAATTTTGGTTACCCTTTTACTAGAGAGACATTAGAAATGTGCTGACTTTTTAGAGGAAAGTTACAATGATCATCAGGCTGAAATTGTTAATTCTAAAGAATGAAATTAAAACCTTTTTTTATGCCACACTTGTCACAAGAAAACTAAATGGAGAACCTGGCAATAGCCTTCAGATTATGAGAAAGTTCGATTCTCATCCATAGAGGCAGAACTGTACACAGTAATTGAGGAAATAAGTACAGTTAACTGGAGATGAATTATGATAAACATCAACAAGACTTTCCTGACCGATGTATTTGAATCCGTACAAAAGTCTTCCAAGCAGAAAGGAAGGAAATCCTTGTGTTTTGATAAATGAATGGAGGTCTATCATAGTCAGAAACCCTGTACTGGAGGGAAAATCTAATGCATCCTTTTGAAGAAATTCACAGTAATTTCCTATAAATTAAAGAACTTTTTACATCATGGGTTAAGGCACTTAGATACACATCTCATTAAACTTCAGTCATCTGAGAGGAAGACAGATAGTCACCCAGGCCTCCTCTTACTGTTAGTAGAGAGAAATGCACACCTCCCCAGGCCAACCTGTGCCTCCCTGTACATGTCTGTGACAGGGGAAATGAATTGCTCTTTGGAGGTACCCATCCAGTGACTGGTGAGTGTCTAGGTTTGTTAGGTTGTCTAGACACCCAGCTCTCAGATGCTAAATTTAAGCAGGATAAATGGCATTCACTCTCAGCATGTTGTCAAGAAGGTCATGCTGCTGCAAATTGTGCTATGTTCTGATCTTCAGTCTCCAGGGCTAGCCATACTGGTGTGCTTAATTACCACTGACAAGGCCCCTCTCTTTTCCATTCCCTGTCTAAATTCAAGTTCATGTCAGCCAAGGCCCAGAATCCAGTTTTTGGTTATAGAAGTCTCTGAAAAATGAGGTTGTGCCTCTGTCCAAACAACCATCACCTGTCTTAGTTGAGGAGGCAGCAGGAGTGGCCCTGACTCTTTTAGTAAGGGTTATGACGAGCATTGCGTAATGGTCCCTCTGTTTCCTCTAAAGAATCCTTTCCTTCTATACAGTTTTTACAGATTTCTGCACACGTCTTTTTGTTACCTGGCATGTTTAAATCTTCTCTTTTTATCTAGGCAAGTCCTTTGCTACTAGTTTCTAATGTTTGTTACTAAAAACTTGCACAATCTTTTGATGCACTGATAAATAAGCAGCAGCTATGGATGGAGTTTGTTCTGAAATGTTCTGAAATCCCTTTGCACTTATAACCCTTATTGAATAAGAGAATGTTTTGTATGTTGGTTTGTCCTGTCGGATTCCCTTCCTGCTAGCAGCACTTGATATGTTACATCTGTAGCAAATGGGCTTTGGAAGTAGCAGCCCATCTTGGATGGAGAGTTGTCATCTTCCCAAGCAGTGTGAGGCAGTTTATCAGATAACACTTCTCCCCTTCTCCTCAGGAGCTTGTTGCTTTCTTGCTGTTTGTGGGTTTGAGCAAACCCTGCCTTGTGTTTCTGTACACTGTCTTGTCTTGTTCCAAGAGACCTGGAGTCTGAAAAAGAAAGAAAAAATAAACCCTAAAATGCCAATAAACTCCACTAACTGGAGATGTTTAGACTGGTCAGGTGCAGGTAAGATGTTTCTGCCCAGCTCCTTAGAAGCTGAAGAAAGTTTGTGGTAGGGTCTTGGAAGGTGCTGCTCTTGGAGCTAAAGGACAGTTTTCATTGTGGTCAGTTAGGGAAGGTGGAGACACCTGGCACAGGTTAGTTTGACATGTGGACATAGACACGTAAGCCTGAAATCTCTGTGAGGTTCACCAGACGTTTGCATTCAGGGGAAGCAGACCCAGCAGGGGCTGAGCTGCAAGAGCTGTAGTTGTGGTGGGAACCCTGACTGACAGGCTCCACAGCGTGCGTGTAGGTATGTGCTTGCATCTATTTGTGCAGATCCCCATGCTCTGTTTTTTCCTTTTGACAATTATTTTTGTTTCTTGAAAAGGAATTCCCCAGACCAAAACCTTCGTTAAGATATATGTGAGTGTGCATGGGTGGGTCTTTGTGTGTGCACTCCATTGGTTGTAGTATATGTTCCTGAATGTGTTTGGATGCCTGTGTATGGGCTACAAATCCATGGGAGAGTGTACAGACATGAATCCATGGGGGGGGGAAGAGAGTGTGTATGCAAGCATACGTATTTCATATGTATTTGCGTTCCGAATGGTTGTTGATGGAGACACACGGGTTGTTGTGTATGTAACTGAGTCCATTAACATGTTTTCTGAGCCAGTGTGGCTATCTCACTGTGCAAGTTTGATCTGCTTATGGGTGGGTGTTTATATCTGAGAGTTTCCTGTATGCAGGCATGTTCATCTGCATGCCTGTGGGTGAGTGTACAGTTGCATGTCAAGCTCAGCATATTTTTGTTAGCATGGCTGTGCATTCAAAAATAGTAGAAGGCATGTACTCATGAGGTACGCCCCCAGGTTGCCTTCAGCATTTCCAACTCCTTTAGGAAGTTTCTACTTAAAATACCTCCACAGTGAGGAGTTATATCAAGTGATAAGTCCAGTTGCATCACGTTAGGCCCACTTGCTTGCTGCAACTTGGGAACATCTCCCAAGTCCCCCCAACAAGCTCCACAGACACATGGAGATGCACCTCATACAACTGAGTAAGTGCAAAAGGCACCGGGCGGGTTAAAATCTGGTGGGTTTGAAAACTTCAGTGTGGCACAGTTTCTGCCAAACTCACTTTTAAATTGCCTGACTTTCAAGCTGCATTTTCAGAGCTTTTGCTTCTCAGTAAGTGTTACACACTTAACTTCCTGGCCACAAAATAAAGATTTTTTTTCAAAATTTTCTGGAAATATTCAATGATTCTATTTTGGGCCACTCTTAAGCCACTTCTTAAGTAACTACAGAGGGAGGGGAGGACTTTTTAATCTGCTATTAGAAAAAGAATTTCCAAGGCAGAGACCACATCTACCGTGTGTCAACTCTCTTTAAGTGCTAAGACCAAGAACGACTTTCGGGCAATAAAATGAAAGATGATGTAATATATGGGGCCTGGGAGGTTGGGCCTGTGGGTTGTATTCCTTGGACTTTGACTAGATACCTACACCTCAGTCTCCCCATCAGTAAATTAGAGATTGTTATTATTCCCTAAGTTAAGAAAGCATTGTCATTAGTGTTTACAAAACACTTTAAGGTCCTTAGAAGAAAACATTAGGGTGGTAAAAATTATTACTACCTATTATAATAATAATAGGAAATAAAGTATTATAGGAGTTGAATAAAAGCCAGCAAATTTGAAATATATCATCCCAGAAGTAGCCCCACACACAGGCTTGCATTCCCTTCCTTTCCACATCAGCAGACACAGCCTGGAGTTGAGTGCTGTGAAGCTGACTTACAGCCTGCTGTCCCCTCCTCCAGGCAAAGAAAGTTGCTCATTACTCTTTGTTGTGCTGTATCAAAGGGGGAAATCAAGTTCGATTTGTGCTCTGTGCTACAGTGCC